AGTGCCTGGGCCATAGTAAATAAGTCACTCAGTGATAGCTGCTTTCACTGTCATTAATTATCTGCCCTGGGAAAAGGAGGAAGTTTCCCCAAGCATTGCCACTCACAGTTCTATAACTAATGCTCCATCACCAGTGCCGCCTAAGACAAAGACCTGAGCCCCAACTGTGTCAGATTCAAAGAGATCAGGTCTGTGCAGCATGATACATGTATAGCTTATGCAGGGCTCCCTCTACTCCTTGGTGGCCTTTCTCAGTGTAAACATCCCTCCAACTCCCTCTTCTCCAAAATCCCCTCAACACTCAGCTCCCTAAGGCTCTCTATCTAGCCGGAATTTTCCTTCAGAAGAAAAAATACCCATAAGGAAATAATGACTTCATTCCTTAGTCCCCTGTATACAGCCCATAACTTATTTATTTTTGCTCAAACTCTTAAAACTTTAATATGCCTCAGTTTATCACTTTACATGAGGAAAACATCATAAATCAATAGAAAAGGCAGAGATACTCAATAAATGATGTTGGAAAAATTGCTTATTGACTTGAAAGTTAGTGGCAGTCCCCCAAGCTTTTATTCCTCCAGTCTCTCTAAGGGGTTTTATTTGCTTCTAAATCCTTCAGTGTCTGAGGGACCTAGAGTAATGTGTTTTCTTACCGAATCAGAGCTGATACATTTCCAGGACCAAAAGAAGCTAAATAAAGTGCAAGTTTTAACAAAACATTTTCTTCTACCTGAAAATAAGGTACTATAACAGCACACAAGAACTTGTATTAATAGTTAAATAGATTCAAAACCTTGTTCCAAAGCTGGAAAAGCACTTGGACCTATATCCTGAACTGGTCTCCAGAGGGCAGCAGAGAGTCATTTGCAGTAACAAAAGTTCCCTCTAACCAAAAGTGTGTGTACCCAGGTTGTTTTTTCAACTCTTCTGTGCTTTCTTATGACTAAGCCTTAACAAACTGGGTGGCCAGGATTTGGAAAGCTGTCTGAGGTCATGGGTCAAAGTGATGCCAACAAGCCAAAACAAAGATTCAAAGAATCACTCTCATATCTTTAAAATAATTCTTTAATTAGATAAACCAACGAACCGCAATTAATACACTGTTGACTAAGCATGTTTAACCAGCACATGTTTATGAAACACTGATGCATATAAAGCATCTAATCTTTTCAGGGCTTTCTACTCCTAGACATACAAAAAGTATATAGAAAAGAATAATAGTCACTTATTCTGCCATATATTTTTTGAGAATTTGGTACACACTCAAAGTTTATTAGTGACCCAGAAACTGTTAAAGACACAAAGACTTATAAAAGGCTTATAAAACTCCATGTTTCTGGAGGAGGAAATGCAACCCACTCCAGGATTCTTGTCTGGGAAATCCCATGGACAGAGGGCTCTGGTGGGCTATAGTCCATGGGATCACAAAGAGTCCTACACAACTTAGTGACTGAGCACGCATGCATATATACACGTATATATAACTGAATCACTTTTCTGCATACCAGACCCTAACACAACATTGCAAAGCAGCTATACTTTAATAAATATAAGAAAGTAAATAATCTGGAAAAAAATAAAAGCATGTTTCAAAAAAAATCAGGACTTCATTGGTGGTGCCGTGAATAGGAATCCACCTGCCAACGTAGGGGACCTGGGTTCCATCCCTCATCTGGGAAGATTCCACATGTAGAGGGGCAACTAAGCCCGTGTGCCAAAACTACTAAGCCTGCACACCACAACTCCTGAAACTGAGCACCCTAGAGCACATGCTCTGGAGCAGGAGAAGCCACCACAATGAGAAGCCCGCATACTGAGAGTAGAAAGTAGGTCCCTGCAACCAGAGAAAGCCCAAGTGTATAAGGAAGACCCAGCAGAGCCAAAAGTAAATAAATAAAATTAAAAAGAAAAAAAAAAAACTTAAAAAAATTATGTTTAAAAAAACATGTTATTCTGACTTTTACTTTGTAAACAACAAAAAATCTGGATACAATAGGTAAAATGCTTCTATGAGCTGACAAAGTAAGGAAGAGTTAGGCCAAAATTAGGTGAATGCAGGCATCCAGAGAAGTATGTGGAACACGGAAGGTGGCCTGGACTCCAGGGCATTGCTAAACCAGGTAAAAATTTAAACTTTGGTTTACATGTCTTAAGAGGGCACAGAGAAAAGGCATCACAAAGGTCCCTTCAAAATGGTGATTCTCATAAATAGGAGACCACCTCATGAAGGCTGAGACACCAAAGGGCGATCTCTTCAGTGTGAGAACGAATTAGAAGTAACCACCTTGAACCCTCTATCTCCTCCCACCCGAGGGAAAGTGAAATTGCCTCCTATCTGGAAACTTGGCTCAAAGTATGGAGGAGGGAAGAAAATCTCTTCTGAGTTTTATAAGTTGAGATGGCCCACATTCATACATCTGGGTGGTCTAAAATGCCTCAAGTTGAAAATTAGGTTAAGGTGGTCACAGACACAGGAGTCTCACAGAAGCAAATAGAAATCTTCTCTGTAGAGACTCACCTCTATTCCAGGCCTCAAAGAGTTTCCATAGAAATATGAGTTTGCAGTCAAACACCACGAAACCCGAAAGTAAAGGACATATCATGAGTGACAGCCAGTACTTATCAGACCCTCAAAGATGAAAGACGTGGAATATCGATCACATACATTGAAATATACATATAGAAATAACAGGATGAGTTAAGGTAAAGAGCAAGAACCATTAAACAGTAACCAAACAAGCCAAACATAGGACCTCGTTTCATAAAAAACATAGTAAGTAATATTTTAAAACTTAATCAAGGAACTTCCCTGGCGGTCCAATGGTAAAGAATCCGCCTTCCAGCGCAGCAGACCAGGGTTCAATGCTTGGTTGGCGAACTAAGATTCCATCTGCCACAGGGCAACTAGAGTCCCTGCAAGTCAGGGAAGAGCCTGAGCACCACAATGGAGACCAGAGCAGTGCCCTCCCCCCTCCAAAAAAAAAACCTCAGTGAAAACAGACAATATGGTGATGCTAATAAAAACATGCGGTAGGGTTACTGGGATTAAAATATTTGAGAGCACTAAGATACATATTAAGACTTTATTCCAACAAAGTTTTAAGTTTAAAAGAAAGACAAATGCCCTAGGCAAATAATACTTCACTGTATCTGGCTCAAAAAGAATACAGAACCCAAATTGTCTCATAATCAGTTAAGAAAATTGAATGGGGACTTCAAGATATGTCAATATATGCATCAATCAATGCCTCTAGGCCCAGGTGGCTTTCCTGGCAGTTTAAAATATTTAAGGAAGAAATAGTTCTAATTTTACACAGATGCTGCCAGTGATGCAGATAATATCCTGCAACTCATTTTGTGAAGCTACCATAATCCTGATACCCAAACCCAACGAGAACAGCATAAAAAAAGAAAAGTACAGCTCACCACACTGATGAACACAGATTTAAAATATCCTAAGCAAAAGAAAAAAATTTGAGAGACAAACAAAAGGACATTATGATAAGTTGGGCTTATACACAGAAAGAAAGGTTGAGTTAACATTCAAATAAAAATTAAGTAATTAATTTTACCACACCAAGAGATTAAGGAAAAAAATCATATGGCCCTTCAATAGATTCATAAAACCCCACATTTTACCAAATTAAAATGCATTTGTGATTTTTTTCAAGTCATAGCAAAAGAAATAGCCTGATAATTCCTATAGCAAGTGTTGTGTGTAATGTTGATACACTGTATTCATTCCCTGTAAGATTAGATAGAAAATAAGGATGTAAAAAAAGAAAAGAAGGATGCTTGCTGTCATCCCTTTTATTTAGCATTTTACTAAGTGCTCCAACATTGCAGTTGGCAGAGATGAATGAATAAATGAAGAAATGGTAGGAGAAAATTGTAGCAGACCAAAATTTGCCATCTCCAAAATGTATCCCTTTGATATGAGGATTAACTGGGCTAATTATTTTTAAGAAACAGAAAACTCAGAAAGTTTTTCTGGTTACTTTCCCCTTAGCTGCCTAAGGAATTTAGATAAAGGGCCTGTTTCCATATTTCGTAAAAAATACAGACAAGGTGTGGTGGGGGAAACTTGGCAGGGCCTAGAGATCAGGGTCCTCTCTGTGTCTCATTGTCTCTGTAGGCCCAGCAAACATTTGTTGACCAAACATTTGCTTTTCCATCTTCATTTCCTTCCTCCCCCGACCCCCGTTATAAAATATCATTTATTTTTGGTTGCACTGGGTCTTAAGCGCTGTTCTTGGGCTTTCTCTAGTTGTGGCAAGCGGGACCACTCTTTGTTGCAACGCTCAGGTTTCTTACTGCAGTGGCTCATCTTGTTGCAGAGCGCAGGCTCCAGGGCACTCAGGCTTCAGCACATCAGCACGCAGACTTAGCAGCTGCAGTGTGCAGCTACAGAGACGTGGGCTTCAGTGGCTCAGGGGCTTACTTGCTCCAAGGCATGCGGGATCTTCCCGATCCAGGGAACCTGTGTTCCCTGCATTGGCAGGCAGATTCCCATCTACTGTGTCACCTGGGAAGTCCCCACTTCCTCCCCTTTGAAGTCCCAAACTAGAGAATCTGTGTGCCACAACAAAAGATCCTGCAGGTTGCAATAAGACCGGATGCAGCCAAATAAATAAACAACAATGTTTCTTTATGGAAATATACCGCACTGAAAGACAAGATGATAGTTATAAACTTTCTCTTGAGACTCCCTGACCTTCTTCTGTCAAACTGCACGCTCACCAAGCAAACTGCATCACTTGCCCAGGTGTGCTAGATACCAGACTGGAAGTTTCCAGTCTCTGGAAAGTTCTGTCACCATCAAGTGGCCAATTTAAAGTGAGCATGAACAGTCAAGGACCTGATCCCTTTTTGGTGACATGAAGATCAAGGACTCAGATCTTGAAAGCTAAAAAATGCCGACTGGCAATCCACGATGAGCCCCATACTGGGCACTCCCAGGATATCAAGTTGCTCTTGCCCCTGACAGCACTCAAACTCACCTGGTACATTCCTTTGATAGTACCTATGGCATCGGCCAGCTGCTGATTGTAGCATTTTCGTAAGCTCTCTTCATTCTGCAAATGAAAAATAAATACAAAGAGTACCACAATGTATTTCCAAATATAATTATCACACCTACAAGGGGCAGGGGGTGGGTGGGGGGCTAAGTATCCACCATTCAAATCATCACGTTCTCTTGAGACTTCACTATAAAATCATCTCCCTTACACTTCCACCTAAAACAACACATTCCATTTTCACTTACACTTAACCAAAGCAATAGAGAGTGTGGATAAAATAAACAGTTAATGTGAACATGTTCTCTCATCTTCATATCACAGATTTTTAGCATCTTAGTTGTTTAGTTGCTAAGTCCTTTCTGACTCTTTTGCGACCCCGTGGACTGTAGCCTGCCAGGCTCCTCTGTCCATGGGATTCTCCAGGCAAGAAGACTGGAGTGGGTTACTGTTTCCTACTCCAAGGAAATCTTTCTGACCCAGGCATGCAACCCGCATCTTTCTGCATCTCCTGAATTGGCAGGCAGATTCTTTACTACTGAGTCACCTGAGAAGCCCCCATGTATACACCACTCTGTATGAAATAGGTAACTAATGAGAACCTACTGTATAGCACAGGGAACTCTACTTAAAGTTCTGAATTGACCTAAACGGGAAGGAAATCTGAAAAAGGGGATGTGTGTGTGTGTGTAAGTGTGTGTGTGTGTAAGGATGTATGTGTAAGAGAGTGTGTGAGAGTGAGTGTGTAAGTGTAAGTGTGCGCGTGAGTGTGTGTGTGTAAGTGTGTGAGTGTGTGTGTGTGAGTGTGTGTGTAAGTGATTCATTTTGTTGCACAACAGGAACTAACAGCACTATTAAGAAGCTATACTCCAATAAAAATTTAATTAGAAAATAATTAAATAAAATAGTGAAGTCTATTTGGAATCCATATCCTCTTCTGGTCCTGGCCCTTTTTCGATGAATCGTGCTCATGAAAAGAAATCTAGGGCCACTAATCCACAAACTCGAGTCATTTTCTGATTAATCAAATCATTTAATCCTATGTTATGCATAAAAATGAAAGATAGAAAATCTTTAAAAAATACTCTTGATTCTGTTATCAGTTTTGCTTCCAGCATGGAGTGTAAACAATCAGGGAGCTTCAGAATCAGACAGAACTGGATTTCAATGTCACTGTGCAACTTACCATCTTTCTGATGTTAAGCAAGGACTTAACCTGCCCGACTTTAAGCAAGCTTAAATTTTAAGCAAGTTTCCTTATCTGTAAGGTAGGGATAACAGGATTTCCACTTGAGGATTGTTGGGGGACTTAAAGAGGAAATGCATTAAAAGTTACTCTGGAGACTTCCCTGGCGGTCCAGTGCTTAAGACTTCACCTTAAATGTAAGGGATGCGGGTTCGATCCCTGGTCAGAGAGCTAAGATCCCATATGCCTTGGGGCCAATGCCCGCCCCCACCCAAGAAACAGAAGCAATATTGTAACAAATTCAATAGAGACTTTAAAAATGGTCCATATTTTTAAAAAAAAACACTTTAAAAAAATGATGGGGCCGACAACACACGGGTATTTTGTTTTATAGCAGAAAAGCAACACTAATGCCCATTTTTAATGACAGATAAATATACTAGCATGATCAAAGATTTTGGGGAATTCCTCAGAACAGCAGAGTTTTCATGTCTTTGGCTTCTACAGAGCCATTAAAGCACAAATAAGATCATATAAAATTACAGTTAAGGGCTGGAACTCAAGCATGAAACTGTCTGACCTAGAACCTAAACCCTGGTGGTTTCTTAACCAGTGACACTGAGCAAGTGAATTAACCTTTCTGTGGCTCGGTTTCCTCATCTGTAAAAGGGGTACAATAATCATATGTACTTCATTAGGTTAGTTGTGAGGCTTAAATGAGTTTGTGCACAGACTACGCACAAATGTTCCTGCACATAGTAAAGTTACAGGCGCCACACAGCTTTTTGTAACTATCATGTGCTGTGCTCGGTCACCCAGTCGTGTCCGACTCTATGTAACCCCATGGGCTGTAGCCCGCCAGGCTCCGCTGTCCATGGGGATTCTCCAGGCAAGAATACTGGAGTGGGTTGCCATTTCCTTCCCCAAGGGATCTTCCCAACCCAGGGATCGAACCCAGGTCTCCCACATTGCAGGCAGATTCTTAACCCTCTGAGCTACTAGGGAAGCCCTGTAACTATCATTAGAGACAACATATGCAAATTAAATTACCCTCATAAGTTGCCAAGCTAAAAACTGTAGTGCCTACACAACTAAACACAAAATTAATCCACAAAATTAATTACTTTTAAAACAGAGGAAATGAGAGAACTTCTACCTGTTGGTAATGTTTTTCAATGGTCATGATCCTGTCATGTAGAGAATTGAAGAGTCTGCAAGATTCCTCTTTAAGACGGTCCTCGAACTTCAGTTGAATCAATTGCTTGAGGAACCCAAAATCCACCTGAAGGGATTTAGTAATCTAAAAGTGGAAAAACATAGGTCATTATAGAGCTTAAGGGCACTCTGTGTAAAGATTCCAACACCTGGCCTGGTTCTGGGCAGATAACTTGGGCACCTGGTCAGGGGCCTGTCCTGAATCTAAGATCACATCTCAGAGTCGTGTACACTGGGGAACTCCAGCCAATTGGCAGAACTAACAGAAGCGGATGGAGGAAGGGAGAGAAGGCTCCCAGCAGTTTCCTCCCATAGTGGTATCAGTCACTCAGTCACATCTGACTCTTTGCAACCCTATGGACTGTAACCCGCCAGGCTCCTCCGTCCATGGAATTCTCCAGGCAAGAATACTGGAATGGGTTGCCATTTCCTTCTCCAGGGGAATCTTCCCGACCCAGGGATCAAAGAAACCCAGGTCTCCTACATTGCAGGTAGATTCTTTACCATCTGAGCCACCAGGGAGAATGAGTTATCCCTCGGGACTTCCCTGGTGGTCCAGTGGTTAAGACTTCACACTCCCACTGCAGGGGCCTCTGGTTCTATCCCTGGTCTGGGAAATAAGAACCCCCATGCCACAGGATGCAGTAAAAAAAAAAAAATACAATACATTGGGAAGTGTGTGGGAAAAGAGACACCCTCCAAAGTGGGAGTGTAATTGGTATAATTTCTATGCAGGGCAATTTGGCAACATTCTCCAAAATGACTAATGCATGCATCCTCTGACTCAGACGTTTCACTTTTAAAAATTTACACCCCAGATTTACTGGCATGTGAGTATGTACAGAATTATTCATCGTGATAAGAGATCCGAAATGACCAAAATGTCCATCAGGAGGGGATAGCTAAATAAATGATGCCAGTTTGTGGTATGATGTACTTATAAAATCGATGAAGAAGCTCTTTATGCACCAATGTACATAACTGATTTCCAAGTTATGTTACTAAGTGAAAAAAACAGAAGCAAAATACTATTTACAGTAGTATACCACCCTATGTCACTGTTTTATTGGTTAGGACTTTTAATAATAACTTAATATCTGATGTCCATGAAATGTTCTGTTTCTTTACAATCAAAAAAAGGCTTTGCTATATAGAAGAAAGAAACACAACATTGTAAATCAGCTATACGTCAATAAAATTTTATTTTTTATTTACTTGTTTTATTTTTTTTTAAACTTATTTGGCTGCACTGGGTCTTTAGTTGCGGCACTTGGGATCTAGTTCCCTGATCGGGGATCGAACTCGGACCCTCTGCATTGGGAGCTTGGAGTCCCAACCACTGGACCACCACATAAGTAGCACTTCAGTAAAATTTTTAAAAATTAAAAACAGCTTTTTTAAAGGAAAACAGGAAATAGGATAGAATATTGAGCTTCGGGGCTTCCCAGATAGCGCTAGTGGTAAAGAACTGGACTGCCAATGCAGGAGACGTTAAGAAATGAGGGTTTGGTCCCTGGGTCAGAAGTTCCCTTGGAGGAGGGCATGGCAACCCGCTCTTGTATTCTTGCCTGGAGAATCCCATAAACAGAGGATTCTGGCAAGCTACAGAGCTGCTCACACATGGGATCGCACAGAGTGAGACATGAGCGAAGCGACGTAGCATGGACAGATGCATCGAGATTGGACAAAGGTGTATAGTGGTATAGGGGAGCAAAATTTGCCATCACAAACTATTTCTCTGGCAAGAGTATTTATTTAGGCTGATTATTTTTAAGGACCCAAAGACTCAGGAAGAACCCATAAACTTCCCCTTAACTTCATAAAAGAATGAGATGGAGGAGCTGCTTCAGGAAGGGAGTTAGCATCATAGATAACTATATTATAACATGAACTAGGTATGCAGACAGAGGATGAGATGGTTGGATGGCATCGCTGATTCAGTGGACATGAACTTGGGCAAGCTCTGGGAGACAGTGAAGGACAGGGAAGCCTAGCGTGCTGCAGTCCATGGGGTCAAGAACAGTTGGACACAACTTGGCAACTGACAAGCAACAGGTGTATAGACAGATAGGAACCCAGCAAAGTGTGCTAAAGTTTCTCCCTGTGTCCCACCATCTCTGCAGGCCCAGCAGACATTAGTTTACAGACATTTGCTTTTCCATCTTCATGTGAATTGCGTTCCTCTCCATTACCCTCAACATCCTCTTCTGTCTTTACCTGAAGGTGAGACCCTTGGCTATTTAGACAATTTACTCAATTTTCCTGGGTCTCTCCCATGTATGTGGTATTTAAGTTTTTGTTGGATTTTCTGTTAATCTGTCTCATGTCAATTCAATTTTTAGCTTAGCCAGAAGAATTTAGAGGGATAGAGGAAAATTTCTTCATCTCTGACAATGGGATGTCATTATATGTTATTCATTATATTATTATATTATTCATTATACTATTCTTGACATTTTTCTATATGCCAAAAATATTTTATAAATTTTTTAAAGTATCCTAAACATAAAATGTTCACAGATGGCAAAAGAATTACAGAGAGAGTAAGAAAACATTTCACTAAACAAGTTAACATAGGGGCTTCCGTGGTGGCCCAGTGGTTAGGACTCTAGCTTCCACTGTCAGAGCCCAGGCTTAATATCTCTCTGGTCGGGGAACTAATATCCTGCAAGCCATGCAGTGCAGGAAGAAAAAAAAAAGTTAACATACATGAAATAAATAGGATGCAAATAGAAGTAATGTGTGTGTGCTAAGTTGCTTCAGCTGTGTCCGACTCTTGGCACCCCTATGGACTGTAGCCCGCCAGGCTCCTTTGTCCATGGGATTCTCCAGGTAAAAGTACTGGAGTGGGTTACCATTTCCTCCTCCAGGGGATCTTCTCGACCCAAGGATCAATCACACATCTCTTATGTCTCCTGCGTAGGCAGGCAGGTTCTTTACCACTAGGGCCGCCTGGGAAGCCCCAAAGAGAAGCAGTGTGTATGCTGTATGCTCAATCATTCAGTTGTCTCCGACTCTTTGAGAGCCGATGGACTGTAGCCTGCTAGGCTCCTCTGTCCATGGGATTCTCCAGACAGGAACACTGGAGTGGGTAGCCATGCCCTGAAGTACTTGTTTATACTAATAATTAAAAAACAACAACACACAACTGTTATCCAGTTCAGATTATAGAAGATGCTAATATTTTAAAAATGTTAATCATTTCACTTTTGTCAAGGAAAGAAACATGAAGGCAAATAATACAAATTATCTCAGGAGTTTCTAAATAAATCCAGATTTACCTGCACTAGATTTTGTGTAGCTAAGCTCAACTCTTTTAATGGCAGAATCTCACTGGAATCTGTTTGAGTGGCATGGTCTGTGCTGAAAAAGCCAACCTTCAAATCATCTGAAATAGTAAATCTGAAAAACAAAAGAGGGGGGAGATTAAGTGTACTTCATATTAAAGATATTACCTTAAAGATATATTTAGTGACATATATTTACACATATTTTGTGTAAATCATATTTTAAAAATTCAAAGGATTGGTGAAATGAGAAAACCACTTAATTATCTGCTCATGATTTTGGATTTTCCCTAGGTTGGGTTTTCCCAACAGAGGTTGGATTATCAGATTGTCTGAACAATTTCACATTGCTACACTGATCTTGCTTCCATTTTCGGAGACATGGCCAATTTATGAGCCTCCTTTTAAAATCTCATCCACTGTTTTATGTATGCTGCTGCTTGAGGTCGTTGTAAATCATGCGTGGGCATAGCAAGCAAAATTCCTTTTAAGTAGAGGTTCTGAAAATGTGGTCTAAGAACTCCTGGAGGTTCCAGAACACTCAGGGAATCCACAGGTCAAAATTATTTTCATAATATTATTAAGATTGGATTTATCTTTTCTCCTATCATTCTCTCACAAGTATTTAGTGGAGTTCCAGAGGCTACAGGTAATGTGCCTGGATGACAGATGAATGCAGTAGAGAGGAGTACTCAGCTATTTTCCATTAAGCCAGGCATTGAAAAGATTTGCAAAAATGTAAATGATACTATTCTCATTAAAGATTCTGTCTTGAAAAGAGTTCAATTTTCTTTAAAATATATTACTTATACTAATACAGCATTGGTTTATCATTATTTTAAATGTTTCTCCTTTAAAATTTCTATATGGTAACTATGAATAAATAAAACATAAAGATCAATAATTTTTAAGACTGTAAAGAGATCCTGACACCAAAAAAAAAAAAAAAATTGAGAACTACTTCTTTAAGATAATCACACCACTCTACTGTATTTGGTTTTAAACTCAGTTCCCACCCCCACCCCCACCCCCCACCGCCCCCACCAAAATCAAAGTGGAAAGAAGTATTTTGTAAAATCCTCCTATAGACTTTTAATGACGGACATCTCAAATCGTAACAAGAAGGCCAAGTTTCTGGATGTCCTTTCTCTGTCAATTTGACCAAACTTACCACAAGCATTGGTTTCTAAAACGTCAGCTAAAAAAAGAGAGCCACGAAAGCCTAAGGAACATTCCCAGGCTTTTCAGTGCAGCCTCCGTAGAGAGAGTATCCATGTATCTACCCTCCCTCGTCTGCTGACCAGGTGGAGCAGACCGTGATGGGGGGTACCCCACGGCAATCTCCCTCTTTTTACTGCTGGCAGAGCCTCAGACTTATCTCCTGCAGAACTCAGGGAAGGGTGGGAGAATTCCCAGTATCAAGGGTAACACTTCTGTGGTCTCAGGCCACTGCAGCGATCCCAATCTTCTGGGCAGGTATTTTAGGAGCGGGAGTGGGACTGGGTTCTGAGGAATGTGACAGGAGAAAAGACCTGTCAGGGGCAGGTAAAGCTTTTTACGCAGGAGCACCAGGGGAGAGGTCCCCTCTGTGACTCTGCACACTGCCACGTGTGGAAATGAGGCCAGGAACTGGCAGAGTTGTCTGGTGACCACAAGGGGGTCAGCCAGAGGGCAAAGCCAGTGCACAGATGATGCGCTTTTAAAAAGATGGAAGCAGGCACTTCCCTGGCGGTCCACTGGCTAAAACCCTGGGCTTCCGATGCAAGGGGAGCAGCCTCCGTCTTTGGTTGGGGAACTAAGATCCTGCATGTCTAAAACAAAACAAAGCCACATGGTTGGGAGACTGAATAAATTGAACAAACATGTAAATGTACTGAAGATGACAGAAGTCAAGTTCTCCAGTCCCAGAAATGAAATTTACAAACATAAAAAAAGAAGTAGAGTAGGATATACCCTGAGACAACGTAATGGAACTGGAAGTTCTGGTATGAAGGCATGGTTTTATAATTATGTACATAGATAAATAGTGATAGGTACAAATATGTGCGTATACTTATGGACATGTGTTTCTAGTTCTGTCCAGTGTGAGACCCTAGAAGGGATGATACCCCAGTAGCAATGAACACACCAAAAACACAGGCGTTGATTTTTTTAAATACCATTCTGCATTAAAAGGAACCAGGGCTTCTTGGGAAAATGGCTGGTTTCAAAGCTGGGAGAACAAAAACATAAAATGAGCCTGGAACATCTTGTGATTCCAAAAAGTGGGGAAAGAGTGAAAAAAAAAAATGATAGAGACAGAAACTAGACTGAAGAGATTCCCACTGGCCATATCTGGGACAATTTGAGCATCAAAATAAATGATGAAAGTATCAGATTATAGCCTATCGAATAAAACAGGAATCTAGCAGTCCAAATGAGAATGAGACGCTCTAGTAAACATAGAAAAGAATGGTGAAAATAGAGAATCACCATTGGGCAGCCACTACAGAGGTGATGGATTAGTGTGGGAGTTATCAATGGCAGCTAGGGTTAAGCTTAGCTAAAAGGCTACAGCTCGTCAGTGGAAGTTTGATTAGGAAAAGGAAATTTTGTTGAAAAATTGAACAAGACTACTATATAATCCAGCAGTCTCACATGTGAGTATATATCCAAAGGAAACAAAATCACCATCCCAAGGAGCTACCTGCATTCTCATGTTCACTGTGACGTTATTCACAATAGCCAGGTGTCCACTGACAGATGAATGAATAAGGAAAATGTAGTGGACTTCCCTGGTGGTCCAGTGGATAAGACTCCATGCTCCCAATGCAGGGGGCCAGGGTACTAGATCCCACATGCCACAACTGAAAGATCTCATATGCCTCAACTATAGATCCCTCAGGCCTCAATGAAGATCAAAGATCCCACGAACCTCAGCTAAGTCCTGGTGCAACCAAATAGACAGATAAATAAAAAATAAACCTTAAAAAGATAGAAAATGTTGTGTGTGCATATGTGTGTATAATGAAAAGTCATGAAAGAAGAAAATGAATTCCTGTTATTTGCAATAACACAGATGAAACTTGAGGACATTACATTAAGTGAAATAAGGCAGACTGAGAAAGAGAACTGTTTGATTGCACTTATATGTGGAATCTAAAAAAGTCAAACTCATAGAAACAGAGAGTACAGAGACAGTTGCCACAGGCTGAGGGTAAAGTAAATGGGGGGATATTAGTCAAAGGGTAAAAACTTTCAGTTATAAGATGAATAAGCACTGGGGTATAATGTGCAGCACGACAGTCGCAGTTCATAATACTATACCGTGCACTTGAAAGTTGCTAAGAGAGACAATTTGAAATATTTTCATACACACAGAAGTAACTATTGGAGATGATGAATGTATCAACTAACCTTATTGTGATAATGATTTACAGTATAAAAATGTGCCAAATCATCACATTGTACACCTCAGACTTACAGTGTTCTGCATCAGTTATATATCTCAATAAAGCTGGAGGCAGGGGAGGAAAAGGAAATTTTGTAATACTTAGGCCCTACAGGTGGTGCTAATGGTAAAGAACCTGCCTGCCAATGTTGGAGATGTAAGACATGGGTTCGATATCTGGGTCTGGAAGATACCCTGGAAGATGGCACGACATTCCACTCCAGTATTCTTGCCTGGAGAATCCCATGGACAGAGGAGTGTGGCAGGCTACAGCCCACGGGGTCGCTAAGAGTCGGACACAACTGAAGCAACTTACTAGACACGCATACACTCCCTACACACAAAATAGTAATTCATTACAAAGGGAAGAAGGGTGAATTTAGGGCAGACCTGGGAGACACCAACCCAGCAAAGTCAAGGTTAAAGCACCAATGAGGAAATAGACTGAATGACACATACTGGCTAAACTGATGCCCTGAGAACACACAGCTTCATTTCCATGGCATTCCTGCCAAGAACTCATGACCTGAGTCTGGTTATAAGGAAACAGAAGATGGACCCAGGTAGCGCTGGTCATGCTACAGAAGGTCTGTACTTTTTAAAAAAGTGTCAAGGACGTGAACAGTGGGGAGAGGCTGAGGAACTCTTCCTGCTGGACGCGTCTGAGGTGACAGGATAGCTAAAGACAACGCACACTGCTAGATAGGATCCTGGACCAGAAAGGAAAAAAAAGTCATTACTGGTGCTTTTGGCCCAGCTTGAAAGGAGGCTGCGATAGGGTTGTGCAGTGTGGATCTGCTGATCCGAGAGTGTGTGCTGATCATACAGGAAAAAGTATCATTTTAGGAAAAACACCCTTGAATGCTTAGGAAATTCACACTTAATGGGAAACATGTCTGTAACATGCTCTCAGAAGGTTCTAAAAAGACTGATGATAATGAATGTCTGGGTGAGTGTGACTGTGTGTGTTATGTGTGTACAGAGGCAGGGGGTGAGGAGGAAGAAGAGAGAGAAAACAAACATGGGAAAATGTTGGGAACTGAAGAATCTAGGTGAAGAGTTCTTAGTTCTGTTCTGACAACTTTTCTGTATATTTGAAATTATTTCAAAGTAAACAATTTTTTAAAAGTCAGACGCAACCTTCAAGCAAGCTCAGATGCTGCCAATTTCACTCAGTAAGAACTGTCAGTATTTTAGGCGTAAATCTCTAGAAACTCTTATCAATGGAGAAGGCATTAGCTTAAATCTGCATTACAACCATCCCCCTGTTTACTGTGCTTTTTCTGGAACTTCCCATAACTGGTTCCCAACATCTGTTTTTGTCTTTAGGTAGAGATTCTATTTAAGGTAGTGGTTTGAACCATTTCAAGGAGTTACTCCGATTTCCTGGGTGTCTCCCTTGTATACAGGAGGAATAGATGTTATTAAACTTCTGTTATTTTTTTTCTCGGGTTAATCTGTCTTTTATTATGGGGGGAGGGGGGCTCAGCCAAGAATGAAGAAATGATAGGAGAGATATTCTTCTTCTCCTCCACTCAGCACACGGGACCATCTCTCCCACAGCTGTAGGTCCAAGAATCTTGGTAAAAATGCAAGAGGCGCCTCTCACTATTACACCTAATAACCCACCCCTGAAATCATTGCTTCTTTTCCCAGAAACTTTATGACCTGCTGGCTTGGAGGTC